TGCAGCTTTAAGCTCTAACCCTGCATCTGATCCTATAAGTACTGGGGTTTATTGTGCAGTGGTCCCAACTGCACTTTATAGATTGTAGAGGTGAGAGATTTGAGGCTTGAAGAACAATTAGAAGACTGTTACAATGGTTGAAGGCAAGACATGATGAAGGGCTATACTAAGGTAGTATCAGTGTGGTTAGAGAAGGGAACAAATTCTAGAGATGTTGTAGAGGTAGAAATGATGAGATTTAGCTACTCATTAGATATGTGGAATAAGAAAGTTAAAGTTGACTCCACAGTTGTAAGCCCAGGCAACTGGACGTTGATTTCCTTGATAGAAATAGGGAACTCCAAAAGAGGGGTGGATTTTTGGAGAAAAAAATGATTTCTGCTTTGAACATACTAATTTTGAGACATCTATCTTGACATCTTGAGACAGTTGGAGATGCAATACTAGAAATCAAGGGAGAGATTAAGACAGGATATGTAGATTTGAAGCCATTAGCATAGAGTTAATTAAACCCAGGAGGTCACCAAGACGAAGTATATTGAGAGAATAAGGCCCATGATGGAGCCCTTGGGTTTCCTGGTAGTTACAGGGTACAAGAAAGGATGATTGTGAAGGCGGTCTGCTGGAAAAAATAAAGGGTTAGGATTTAGCAGACATGTAGAGGACTTGGCCTTGGAAAGAGGAAAGGCCACATTTTTTTTTTTATCAGAGACTAGTAAAAGAGGAGAGAACTGATTGACAATAGGATAGATACTGAGAAGAGAGGAGAATGAAGCCAGACCAGGGGTGATGGCCTGGGAAAATAATGAGCAGTGGAGGAACTAGAGAACATGGTGAGGATGAATAATTAATTTAGGAGAAGGAAATACACAAAGGAGATGGAATGATAAGAGGCAATGGTTAGATAAAGAATTTCATAGTTCTTGATTATGAAACTGGAACTCTTATGGGAGGTGGCAAGATTGAGGGTGTGAGCATTCTTTTGTAGATGAAGTGGAGTGGAGGAGTAGGACATGAAAATTAAATACATTGAGGACCTGGTAGGTTGTTGGTTGAAGGAATAGCAGAATATATGTAGAAGGGGCATATGAAGAACATGAGGGTAGGAGTTTGGGTGGAAAGGAAACTTGTGAGGTACTGAACTTCTTGAGAAAGGGGGGATAATGATTTGGGGGTCAAATCTATCCTCAGACACTTATTGAATGTGTGACTTTTGGCAAGTCACTTGACCTGTCTGCCTCAGTTTCCTCATCTGTCAAATGGAGATAATAACAGCACCTACCTTTCCAGAGTTGTGGTTAGGATAAAATTGGTTATTTGTAACATGCTTTGCAAACCTTAAAGTGCCATATAAATGTTTGCTATTAACTATTACATACAAAGTAAATACAAGGCATTTTTTTTTTTGAGAAAGGGAGGCACTAGCAGCTGGGGTGTATGTGTAGGGGTGAATCAGAAAAGCCCTCTTGGAGAAAGTGATGCTTGAGCTAAGCTTTGAAGGAAGCTAAGGGTTCCAAAAGACATAAGTGGGAAAGGAATGAATTCTATGCAGAGTGCACAGCCTGTGCAAAGGCATGGCAATAGGTGGCAGAATATTATGTATTATCAAGAAGGCCAATTTGGATGGATCATGGAGTGCGTGAATTAGAATAATGTGTGATAAGCTTTGAAAGGAAGGTTGAAGCCATTCCATGAAGGGATTTAAATGACAAACAAAAGAGTTTGTATTTTATACTAAAGGAAAAAGGTAGCCACAGCCAGCACTTTGAGCTGGGGAATGACATGATCATAGATGAATATCAGTTTGGCAGTTGTGTAGAAGAGGATTTGAAGCAGAAACAGAACAGGAAATATTAAATGCTTATGTATTTTAAAACTACTTCAAGTTTTTTTTTTTAATTTGATGATAGCAATTTCTTTAGGACTTCTCAGGGTCTCCCTGAATTATAAAAGGAGAAAACAGTAGGCTGCTCTCTCAGATGAAGCAAATTCATTACAAAGTCTGCCCCCCCCCCACTATATGAACAAGTAACTAGACTAATGTCTTTATGGAGAGAAACACAGAAGTCCCACATCCTGACAGAGAAGTGATGGACTCAGTGTACACAATGAAACAAAGGTTTTGGACACGACCAATGTAGGAATTCGTTTTCCTAGATCTACGCATATTTATTACAAGGGTTTTCTTTTTCTTTTTTTCCAGTTGAGGGAGAGGTGGTAGGGAAAAACATAGATTTTTAATTAAAAAAAATGTAAAAAATTAAAAAAAGAGAAAAATGTAGTTCAAATCCTGGCTGTGCTATTTACACCTGGGTGATCTTGGACAAATCACTTAAACTCTGAGCCTCTTCATATGTAAAATGACAGGGTTGGATTCAATGATGTCAGATTCAAAAGGAACAGATAATGTGGGAGCCACATACTGACTTAGACTAGAGCAAATTAACATTAACTGTGTTGTATTATATTTTGATTTATTTTGTTAAACATTTCCCAATTACATTTTAATATGGATTGGGCTACACTGGAGAGTTTTGCAAGTTTGACACATCTGGATTAGATAATGTCCAAGATCCATCTCAGGTCTAGAACTTTTAATCCCATTCCCTCAGTGGAACTTTCTTTTATGTGTTGTCTCCCCCAATTAGAATGTGAATTCTTTGAAAGCAAGTACTCTGTATCCCCAGTGCTTAACATAATACTTGGCACATAGCAAGTGCAAATCACCATGTAAATAATTGCCTGAGCTAAGGCTACCTTGGAAACCATGAAGTCAACTTACCTCAAATTGCACCATGCGATTGAATGCCTCGTTCATCAGAATGGCCCAGTGAAGGGTGGACTTTCCTGGTCGTAATAGCAAACTCGGAGCTATTCTCCTGAGCTATTAACAGGAAAAGTGTTTTCCTTTTTTATTTTTTTCTAAATTGAGCCTGTCAAAAACAACCTCAGATATAGTGTTTCCACATAGTATAGCGATACTCTCTTCAACACGGAGAAGAGGACTAGTGTCTATCAAAATAATTATGTTGTTGAACATTTCTGTATCAGTTTGTCTCATTTTAAAATGCCCCCATCCTCTACCGTATAGGTTGGCTTGTGCCATAAGTGGCTATTTTTGCATCTGAGGAAACTTTCACTCATAAAACTCAAGGCCTTTCATCATAGTAATACATGCCAAGTCAAGTGCAGACTGATAGAGTACTTTAGTTTTAGAAAGTGTTAGTAGATGCAGTCTTTAGCTCTGTTAAGTCTCAGACAAAATTTCTTGTTTCAAGTCTCTTTCCACTCCAGGCTACCTCCTAAAGCATGAGTCTTACCATGTCACTCCCCTACTGAAGAACTCTGTGACTCCTTTCAGATCAGAATCCAGATTAAAAAAGGGGAGCTGGCTTTTAAAGCCCTTCACAAACTGATTCATTTCTATCTTTCCAGTCTTATTACATTTTACCTCCCTGTACACACTACCACCCAGTTCACACTGGTCTTCCTCTTCCTGGCACATGATACTATTTCCCAAATTCAGAAGCAATCCCCCATATGTGGAATGCATTCCCTCCTCACTTCTGCTTCTTGGCTTCCTTCAAGAATCAATTAAAAATGTACTCTTTTGTATTTATAGCAGCTCTTTTTGTGGTGGCAAAGAAATGGAAATTGAGGGAATTCCCATCAATTGGGGAATAGCTGAATAAGTTGTGGTATATGAATGTAATGGAATACTATTGTGCTACAAGAAATGATGAACAAGTGGATTTCAGAAAACTTGGAAAGATTTACATGAACTGATGCTGAATAAAGCAAGCAGAACCAGGAGAACATTGTACATAGTAATAGCAACATTGTGCAATGATCAACTATGATAGATTTACCTCTTTTCGGCAATACAACGATCCAAGACAATTCCAAAAGACTCATGATAGAAAATGCTATCTACATCCAGAGAAAGAACTATGGAGTCTGAATGTAGATTGAAGCATACTACTTTCAGATTTTTTTTTTATGAATTTTCCCTTTTGTTCTGTTTCTTCTTTCACAACATAACTAATGTGGAAATGTTTAACATGATTGCACATGTAGAATCTGTATCAGATTGCTTGCCATCTTGGGAAAGGAAAAGGGGAAGGAGAGACGGAGAAAATTTTGGAACTCAAAATTTTATAAAAATTAATGTTGAAAATTATCTTTACATGTAATGGGAAAAAATATAGTTCTACTAAAAATGTACTTTTTGCAAGAGGCCTATTCTAGATCCTCACTGATTCACCTACTAAACAGTGCCTTCTCTCTGATTACTTCCCATTTACACTGTATATCTTTTGTCTCTCCCGTTGAATGTGAGCTTCTTGGGGGAGGACCTTGTTCTTACTTTGCTTTGTATTGTATTAGTGCAAATAATGAAACCAATGAAGAAGTCATATTATTCACATTTGAGCTTCATATTTCCACTGGGCTAGAACCAATGACTATATTTTACATAATTATAACTTTAAACAGGGCAAATTCAAATACATATGACCATTTTGTAGGATTCATTATTCACATTAGCTGTATCCCCAGTGCTTAGTATAGTGTCTGGCATATATAATTCTTAATAAATGCTTGTTGATTGATTGATTGAGACAGCTTACATTGTCTGACTATTTTTTCACATCTGTGTGGTCTCTACAGATCTAGATGATGATAAATTCTGCTTCTTCTAATATAACTTGTGCAAAGCTGCCATTACATATTTCTAAGGAGAAAATCAGTAAATTAGGTAGGTGGTGTGTATAAGTGTATATATACATACATATGCATATATGTGTGTATGCATAATGAATATGTATGTATATTTAAATCTCTATCTTTTATAGGAAAATATATAAACTATATTTTACATGTAGTATTTATCTAAATATGCAGAATATATAGCATGCACGAGTATTTTGGACAAATGTTTAATTCAACATAATCTGGAAAAATAAAAGTCATACTCAAATCACAACAATATTTGTACCGTTTTTATTTGTAAAAATAACCATCTGAATGCATTTCAATAGTTTACAGTTATGTATTTCATTACATTAATAGAGCATTCAGTAGTTGAAAAAGATATTAAACTGTGCTTGAGAAGATTCAGATTGGATCAGTCATTCAATGAATTAAGTTTTTTTCCTCATTTTTACAGTTATGACATTTACTGAAGTCATTCAACTCCAATTTACATAATAAAACATTACAGACAAAACCCCACTGAAACCATCAACTAATAATTTCTGCTGTTACAAATATGTTATGCAAAATATAACACTGGCACCAGATTCATATCATCGTGCTTTGTAAAGATATATTGCACATGCTAAAGCATAAAATATGTCGACAAAACTACCAAACATAAGATATTGGCTTTGAATATTTAGATCACTGCATAAGAAACGCATAGAATTACATTTTATACACACGCTCAGATTGTCACTATTTTAAAATGCTTTTTCCCACTAACACTGATCTATGGTTTACAGTTTCTGTATGAAGAAAGCATTTTTAGCACTGCAAAAAAAAATCATACATCATTCCTATGGAAATTTAGCATATTCATTTTAAATTCAAAGCAAGTGAAAGGGAATGGGGGAAAAAGACTTTATACATTCAAAGAAAGTTTGAAATAAAAACTGACTGGTATTATATTGCTTTGATAACACTCAAATGGAAAAAATACAATAAATTTCACAAAACATTTTCAGAATACACAAATATAAAAAGGCACTCTAACTTCATATTACACGACCAAAAAAGACGCAAGTTCTTAAACCAAACCAACAGAGAGCTAACCAAGTTTCTCAACAGTACAAAGAATAACTACTGCAGCAATTCATTTGATGTTCTTGCTCTAATTTAGTAATAAAATAACAAGTCAAGCAGCTGTTTACTGCATAAAGTACCAAACATACTATGGTGCCCTTTTAGTAGTGATAAATAGAAATCCCCTGAGCTATTTGCTGTAGAATCAGAACAGGTTTTAGGCAATTTGGAGATAGTAACATATTATCAAAGATAGGCAGACACTGGTGAACAAGAAGAGTTATGTGCAATGCAAAAAATCCCCATGTCTCTGGTTAAAATACAGTCTTAAAAAATGTTTAAGTAAGAGCAATAAACACCATGATGTAGGAATCTGAAAATGTATTTTAAAAAACCCTTTTTTCTTAGTGAGCCTTGTTGAAAAAATGATTTTCTTTCTAGCAGTAGATTTAGAAGATACAAAAACTAAATGCAATCTTTACTTATGTCCTAAATAAAGCAAATTTTGTAGTCACCAAAAACAACTCAAGAAAAGGAAAAAATAAATTTAATGGTCAGTTCCTGGTAAGCATATTTCAATTTTGTTCCTTTGTTCTCCTTACAATTTAATAGAGTAGAAAGGTAAAATACAGTTCCACTGTGATTAGGTTGAATCACTGTGGTTTGCTGCAATATTACCTGTTCTCTCTGCTCTTCTATAGAAAAATTCAACACTAGCCCTCTAAAAGAAGACATTTCATTTCCTGCTTAAAAGGCCACTTCCTTTCATTCCAAACCAAATACCATTTTAGTGAGATTTCCAGTCACTTCTAGAAAAAGACACCACAGTATACAGCTCTCCTTCAAAGCTGGTTCCCCCTTATTTTCAGTGCTTTAATAAAGATAAGGTAGTTATTGCTAGTTAGCAACTTCTTTTTTTTTTAAATCATTCTTTTCAAAAAAGGAATACAGTACTAACGTTAAGGAGGAAAAAGGAGAAAACATCTTCTTTTCCTCAGAGTTCTAGAAAAGTGTCATTGAACTTTTTCAATGAAATTAATACCAATTCTACAAGTCCTTGGAACAAGTTCTCATTCATGATGAGTAAAGTGAGTTCCAATTTTTTAACTCCTCTAAGATGCTAAAAGATTAAGGTATTTTACAGTTATTGAAAAACACAATATAGTATCTATAGTTTGCTTAGATCTCATAGAACACTGTTTTTAAAAAATGCTCATGATTATTATAAAATAGAAATTTCCAGGACTAAACTAGAAAAAGAAAGAAATATCAAAGGTACAGCCCCTCAAGAAGTATTTCTTTCCTTTTTCTTGGCTCAAGTGGAAAACTAAGCATGTAGACTGGTGATTTTAACTTCTCTCAAAGCACGAGCCAACAGCCTAAGTCATAGTTTTCCTGCTAGGATCCTTTTATTGGGACTATGTGTAATCTTGTGGTTAGTAGGATCACTTTTGAACCTTTCATTTCTGGATAATGTTGACATACATCAACATCCATTTCTATTCTCTTCTCTCAAGGACTGTGTCTAAAGTATACCCACCTGGAGTTTGGCCTTCCTTACTGAGAGATAGCAATGCCCTGCAAGCTACAGTGAGAGGGGATGCGAGCAATGGAATGACTCTACATTCTATATCCCCTCCTAATAGATGTGGAAGAACCTGAGGTTAGCCTGGAAACCTTAACAATGGATATCTGGGCATAGGGACCCCAGGCATTCTGGCTAGCCCAGAGTCAATTTTTTTTTCCTGCTATTTTTTTCTTTGATAGGCCAGATAAGACACAACAATTAAAACATAACTACGGAGAAAATTCCTGGGCTTTTGCTTCACATCAAATAAATATAAACACATTTACATCAAAAGTATATATGAACATTTTCTCTGGTTTGGCAAAAAAATAAATTGTGGTCAACACATCATTGGTTACAAATGGTAAGCCATCAACTATAAATCTGTGTCATAAGAAATGTAAAATACAACCAAGACTCAAAAAGTTTACATTTTAACTTTTTAGAAAAGCTACATCATTTCTTACTTCCATTTTGAAGGAAAAAAAAATTTATCTTCCATTTTAGACACTGAAGCATTTTGGTCCTCGTGTATAGCTGGTTGATGATATATATACATATATATGTATATATATATATATTTTTTTTTTCAAAGTCTTATTCTTCTTTTTGTACATCTGTCCCAGGTGAAGAACGGGGTCCATTTGACCTAGAAGCTTTGGCAGAAGGAGCAGATACAGTATTCATAATGTTGATCCCACTTATCAAGTAAATGCCAATCGGCTTTTCTTTCCAAATCTCATGTTGCTATTCCCCATTTTAAGCCTATGTTCACTTTGGGACCTACACTATTTCTTGCTTTGCATTACTCTTGACCAAAGAGACTATTTAACTTCTTAATATAGTGTAAAAAATATTTTTTACAACCTAGTGGTTAATTTGTTTTTTTAAAAAGGAAGTATTCTGATTTAATTGAGGAAGAATCAGTGAAAAAAAACTACTGCACTTGAAACTGGCAAATTGCTACAAAGTTTATGGATTAAGTAATTATTAGCTAAACTTTCTACGGTGGATCAGAGTTGAATGGATCAGGTGAAAATTACTAATGATCCATCATATAATCTAGTGTATGTCATATTTATATTACACTTTAAAAATTAGACCAAATTTTAGATCAATAGTCATCTGCTAAGCAAAGATTCTTAGCACATGCCTTCTGGACACGTGTGCTTAATATGTGTTGGTATATATGCATGTGTATATGAACAGGCAGAGACAGGAAAGGAAAAACAGACAGAGACATAACAACAAAGATAAAGAGGCAGAGAGAATACATATGAGTGATTAAATTCTCCTAGCAACAATAATCCAGGCAATATCTCTGAAAGTGAACTTTACCTTTGGCTTGTAATGAGGAAGTAAACATCAGAGTGAGGAGAAATTTGAGGACAAACTCCCCCATTGTACAAGAAAGCCACATTGATAAGCTTCTGATAATTGTACAGCAAGGACAAAATAAAAAAAAATCATTGATATAATAGTCCCTTACTCTGTTGCATTATTTCAAAAGAAGAAATAATAAAATGCCTTTTTAAAAAATTCCCTACTTAAGATGAGAGGTAGACTTTCACAGTAGTACTTTAGATAGAAAGAAAACATGATGCAAATCAAAGTCAGGGCACATTTCATGAGAATGTTTTCCAACAAAAACTCCAAGTCCTCTCCTATAGGCTCATTGCACACTTTACTAAACCCTTTTCTCCTATCTTCTCAAAGCTTGGTTCCATAATGACACTCTGACACAACATAATTTGGGGAATAAAAATTCTTCCTGCCCCGCCTTCTCCACCTAACATAAGTAATTAAGTGGAAGCTTCTGAAGTCCAGAGTCAAAATGTTTCCGAATCAGAATCATTTTCATTGTACCCGTCCTCTGATCCTATATTGTGAGTGAAAGAGCTAGCGGTGCCACTCAGATTGGTGCCATCACAGATCTGTGTCCTGCTCAAATGGTCTTTTTTAAAACAAACGAAGTTGAAAGCCGTCATTGTACTGGAAGGAGAAAAAGGCATCATGGTAGCCAAAATGAGTGCCAGGCAGTCAGCCACGTCCTTGTTAGGAGCGCAAGCCAGGGCTGGGGTATGACCTGGGCATAAATGCAGACAAGGCAATGGTTAGTACTGGGGAAATCAAAGGGGAAAGTGAGCATTCCACAAATACATCTCAAGATGATTCTTGTAAGCGAGAGATGTATGTCAAGTTAAAACCATGCCAGGCAAGAGGATGAGTTACTTATACTAAGTAGACATGCTAGGGGTTTGGGTCAGATAGAAGGAAGGTTGAGGTAAGGGAATTGGGGGAGGGAACGGAGGAAGAGACAATTTATGAAGGTTTTCAGTTCATATGACCACAACAAGCACTCTATTATAAGTTAGGGGGAATTTAGCCTTCACCAAACGGACAAAAACACTGGGAGAACACAGATCCACAACAACAAAGATGAATACAATATAGCACACATGGCACTATGAACCTGATAACAGCATTCAAACTTGGTTCATAGGGACAAATCTCATTCTGAGAACAATGACTTTCAGTTGTAGACAAATGTGCATCAAATAAGAAAAAAAATTTACGTTAGATATCAACAAACATCAAGTTATGCAGTTCTATCATTCAATGCATATCAATCAATTGGTATTTAAGAGATTAAAATGTATTAGTTGGGACAGATACAATAAATCGGATACATGGGATATATGAGAGAGATTGGTCCTTGTTGAATCAAAATTTACTTTTCTTGGTATTCAAGTTGGCAACTCGATTAATAAAAATTATAAACAGAACAGAAACCCTATTCCAGAACCCAGAAGGTGTGGCAAAGGGAAGAATGACATGGGGAACTCTTAGCCTGAGTCATAGTTCGAGCTTCAGAAGTCTAAACAGAAACAAAAAAATTCTAGCAATTTTTTGTTAAACACTTAATCCAGTTACTGCAGGTAAAATACTCTCTCATTACAAATCAGGTATGTAAGAAGGTAGATTGGGTTTTTTTTTGTAGCATTCTACCTTAATCAGATTGAACTCCAGTGACTTAGACAAAATGGTGGCAGCATGTATACTGCAAAGGGTACCAAATGTGGAGTCATGAGACCTGAGTTTGAATCCTGGCCCTGTCACATTTTAGCAGGATGCTCCTATGCAAAATTATTTTATTTTGCCTCAGTTTTCTCCTTAGTAAAATGGTGATAATAATACTTGTATTATAACACTCACCAGTTTACTATGAGGAAAATGTGAATCTCAAAGCACTATAGAAATGTGAGCTACTATAATATTAATATGCATTATTATAGTGCCTAATGCTGCATAAGAGCATTTGGCATTAGCTATTGCTGGAAGATTACAAAGTGCTATCAGATAGGCAAACTATTACTAATATGATCAGGGAATAATTTACTCAACCCATAGGATCTGGTCCAATGAATAGAAATTCCTATGGTGTCATCACCACTTCATTTCTTGTCTGTGATCATCTATCAGATTTCCCTGACACTCACTTCTCCACCCCCACATTGGTGAGAAAGCAAAAATAAGAAAAATCAGGTATGATAATATTCTACACAAGTTAAGTAATTGATTAATAAAAGCTCTGTCATTCTAAAATGCCAAACAAAACAGCCTCTAAAAACAGGGGTTCTTAACTTAGGGGTCCATGGGCCATCATGGGGTCCACAGATAGATTTCAAGGTGTCTGTGTATGTAAATTTTGCTAACCTCAGAATGAAATTTAGCATTTTCTTCAATCATGAATAAAATAACCCAATCTTCTGAGAAGGGGTTCCCTGGGCTTCATCAGACTGCCAAAGAGGTCCATGACACAGAAAAAAGGTTAAGAACCCCCAGCTCCAAAATGTATTTGGTCATTCCTGGCAAAGGCAGATGTGGATCACTAAACTTTGGTGCCCACAAAATTCATCTGTCTCTACACCACAACTATATTAAAGTGGCCTTTTAAAAGTAGATATATACTTCATCAATACAACTGTAGTAATGGTAGTGAGAGGGAGAAAGAGAATAATGGGGGAAGAGAAAGGAAAAGGAAAAACCAAGGAAATGGAGAAGGGGACAAATTTCCCCTCCTCCTCCCAGATGAATCAGGTAAAGGGTAGAGCAGGACACATGCTATGATAAAATGAGGCTAAACAATCAAAAATATTGAGTTAGCTAATGATATCAGTATGGCTGCTTACTTCTGAGAAATATGCATGTGCTGCTAATTCCAATACCTGTAATAAGCATTTAAGTGAATTATGTTAATACATTTTATCATAATGCTACAATTGAGCCACATTTTTTTATTTCATAGCTCATCAGTATCAAGAATTTTTTATTTGCTTCAAGCATAATTGATATTGTTCTAAAAAAGGGTTAAATATTGAGACACCTAATATTTGATGCTTATTCACTTTTACCAGAAAGGAAATGTTTGAGAGTTGATTTCAGATTTTTTTGTGTATCATGGTGTAGTGGAAAGAGCACTGAATTCAGCATCAAAGGATCTGAGTTTGAATCCCATTCCAGCTTTTATTATATGTGTGATCTTGGGCCACTCACTTACTTAATCACACTGAGTCTCTTTCCTTTTCTGTAGAATGATGGAGTTGTACTAGATGACCTCACGATATCCTTCCAGCTCTAAACTTAGTTCCTGTGATCCAGACCTAATGTTTCACTGGTGTAGGGAATTCCCTATACTAACACAGATCAGAAATTTGTCTGTAACCTGCAGTTCTAGAGAGTTGTGGCCCAATGTCACATAGCCAGTGTGTATCAAAGGTAGGTGCTGACCCTAAGTCTTTTTTGACTCTAAGGCCATCTCTCCATCCTTTATGCCACATATCTCCAGAATTTCTTAAGAAGCAGAAATGGATATTTCCTATAGGATTTAAACCATAGAATCATATATTTAGAGCTGAGAGGGACTTTAGAGGCCTGTATAGTCTAATCCCATCAATTTACAGATGAGAGAACTGAGACGCAAAGAGATTAAGTGACTTGCCCAAGGTCTCATAGTTAATAGGATGCAAAGTCAGGATTTGAACTCAAGTCCTCTGACTCAAAGTCCACAGCTGTCTCTAATATAGCAGGTTGATGATCCCTCTAAGAGAAAATATTTTTAAAGGAGTTTTCTATAGATCAGGAAATATACTCAGTTCCAAAAATCATAAAATCATATTAGTATTATAGATTTAGAATTGGAAAGGACCTTGGAGGTCATCTAGTCCAATGATCTCATTTTACAGATGAGGAAACTGAGGCTAATAAAAGATAAGTAACTTGCCTAGAGTTACATAGCCAGAAAGTATCAGAGGCAGGATTTGAACTTGGATTTTTCTGACTCCAGGACTCTATCCACTATGTCATGCTGCCTCTCAATTCTCATATATATACCTAAAATTTCCATAACAAGAATCTGTTTAATAACACCTCTGTTTTAGTCTGACAATTGGAAACACCAAGGTTGATCTCAGAATGATCTGGGACACAAGCCGACATCCAAGTATTTGGGCCCTCACACATGCACTAATGATATATATTGCCCTTAATTCTTCAGGGCATGCAGTTAGAATTTATTGTGCCAAGTTTAAAGGCTTTGAATGAATCTGAAACATTTTAACTACTGCCCTGAGGAGTTAGAGACCAAGAGCTGACATTACATGCAAGATGGAAAACTCTAGTAGAGGGTAGAGTATGTGGTTTACAGACAGGGCAAGGCCTCCTTGCCTGATGCCTTACACGCAATGAGCTTCCAAAGAATACATTCAAGACTTTTTTAACCATCTCCTATCTATCTTTTCTTTTTCCAGCTTCCAAAGGTATACAAAAGGATATACCAAGAAAATGAAGATTATTTCCTCTTACCATTTTCATCTACAGCAAGGACACAGGCTCCCTTGGCCAGCAGCTCTTCAACCACCATCTTCAGGCCATTTCGTGCAGCAATGTGGAGAGGTCTACAAAACATAACACTTAGCTTCAAGGCTGACTTCCAAAACCTACCGTAAAGAATCACTTTCAAAATAAAAATATTATCTGTGTCATAAGAAGTGGAGGGGAAAGGATATTTGGAAACCTTTATCAAACAACCCATAATACTGAATTTGAGTTCTACTCTAGGCTTTCTTATGATGTTTGTTGATTTAACTTATTACAGATGATAATGATCAATCTATTCTTCCAATTTATGCCTAGATCCTCTGATAGAAAATGGATGGAATAGATTTCAGGTGGAGATATGCTCTCAGAAAATCCTGATGACAATAGAAATGAGGAAACTCTTGTCTATGACCAAAGGAAGACACCTAGGTCACATTTTTTAATGTATTAAATATCAGGCTACCATGTCATCTTCTATGATGTCATTTTCATCCTGATAAATGTCATGCCATTTGAACTACTTTATAAATAATACTTTATAGATAATAAATATTAATAATAAATACTAATAAATAATACTAACAATAAATCTAATGCCAATAATAAATACTAATAATAAATATGATAAATAATACTTTACAAATACATACTGGTTCCAAAAATAGAATACGTAGAAATAAAATAATACTCACTTGATAGAAAGGGAATAGAATACATGAAAATGCAACATGACATCATGGAAAAAAACAAACAATAGACTTGGGTTCAAGTATGGGCTCTGCCACTAACTCCTTGTGTCACCATGGGCAAGTTACTAGATCTCTCATTGCCTTAATCCCATAATCTTCAAAATGGAGACAACAATATCTGTACTATTATTTACTCAAAGGATTTTTGTGAGGATCACAGATATATATATATATGTAAAATGCTACAAAAAGGTCAACCGTTACTGTTAAATAGTTGCTAACTTGTAAGAAGTTCTTAGAGGATAGGGGAAAACAGTAGATTGTTAGTAAGGATTTTATCTAGCATTGTGTAACTTCAGAGCCAGGAGGTTGTCCAGTCATTCAGTTGTGTCTGATTCTTCATGACCTCGTGGACTATAGCATGCCAGGCTCTTCTGTCTTCCACTCTCTCTCAAATTCTAACCAAGTTCATGTTTGTTGTTTACACCTTCCGACCTGAAGCTCATCTTCTGATGTCATCTCTTTTATCATTTTAGTACCATCCATGGTGTTTTCTTGACAAAGATGCTGGAGTGGTTTGTCATTTCCTTCTCCACTGGATTACCTTTTGTCAGAAATCTCCCCTATGACCTGTCCATTCGGTTCGAGTCCCACTTCTAATACATCCTGGCTGTGTGAACCTGGGAAATTCACTTAACCATAGTACTCCAGGCAAATCTCTAGGACTATAAATTGCATGGAAGGTGCTGGCCTGCATCGGTGAAAGATGTTTTCTCAACTAGGAGTTCCCTATACCAATGAAATCACAGGTCCAGTTCCTATCTTTGCCCCCTAAACTGCAGGAAGCTCAAGGCTACAATGTTAACCCCAAATATCCTTTACTATATCACTGTTTTAGATTCTCAAATTTCAAAGAAATTATTTTTTCATAATTTTTCATAATAGTAGATTGCATTACATCCTTCTCTTCTCCTCCTTTCTATATCTCAAAACCCATTACATTGTCGTTTATTCTTTCTTTCTTTACTATGTCTTTCTTTACTATGTCTCTGATGTTTCTCCTTGACAAGGCCAATCTCTCTCTCCATGCTTTTCACACCATGCCTTCCTCATTTCTTCAGCAGATTATCCACATAATTATGCTCCCCCTCTAATTTTCTCTCTCCCTATCTATTGATTCTTTCCCCCCATTCTGAAAAAAACTCCACAATGCACTGTACTATCCCCTCAAAATATTGTTCTATATCTCTCCTCCTATTCACAGTCAATCTCTTAGAAAAAAGTTGTCTACATTGAGTCTCATTGCCCCATTTCCTCTCCTTTCACTCTCAACCCTTTGCAATCTGGATTCTGACCTTATCATTTGACTGAAACAGTTCTGTTCAAAGTTAATAATGATCTCTTAATTGCCAATCCAATGGCCTTTTTCTTTTTTGGTCATCATCTTTTTTTTTTTTTAAACTTCTGTGCAGTATATGACAGAATTGACTACCCTCTCTCCTTCCTGGGTACTTTCTTCTCCTTGGGTTTACATGATACTGCTCTCTCTTGGTTCTCCTACTTGTCTACCTGTTAGCTCCTTCTGTCTACTTTGCTTTATTCATCATCTATATAATGCCCCCTCATTGTGTGTGTATCCTAAGACTCTCCTGGGCCCTTTTCTCTTTTTTCTCTCAGGTCACATGGGTTCAATTATCATCTCAATTGGGGAATGGGTGAACAAGTTATGGTATATTAATGTAATGGAATACTATTGTGCCATAAGAAATGACGAAAGGGATACATTCAGAGAAACCTGGAGGTATTTCTATGAGCTGAACTGAAATGAACAGAACCCTGAGGACAATTTATATTATAACATCATTTTAAAGACAAGCAACTTTGAAAAACTTAAGAACCCTGTTCCCTGAAGTGACCAACAATGATACCAGAGAACTGATGAAGAACTATGCTCCTCATGTCCTGACATTGTAATGAACTCAAAATTCAGGAAACACATTGTTGGATGTGGACAAGGCAAGAATTTGTTCCGCTTGACTATATGCATATTTGTTACAAAGATTTTCTTTTTTTTCTTTTAAATTGGACTTAGGGTTGGAGGGAGACAAAATAAATGTTAATTTAAAAAAATAAATGAAATAAGAAAGTCAAATTAACAAAAAAAATTATCTCTAAGCAAATGCTTTATGATCTATATATCGAACCCTAGTCTCTCCCAAGATCTAGTCACACATTACCAAATACCTATTGGACATTTCAAACTGGTTGTCTTGGAGATAATCAAACTCAAATGTCCAAAACAAAAATCCTTACTTCCCTCCCCGAATCTATCCCTCATCTAAACTTTGCTATTTCAGTCCAGGCCAGTGCTATACTTCCGTTCATCCAGTTTCCTGTGTCATTATTTTTGACTCCTCACCTTGATTATGTTATGCAGTCATTGATCATCTTGTCATTCTATTTCTATAATATCTCTCGCATCTATTCCCTTCTCTATACTCCCATGGGTAGTGTTTAGTTCTCGCTACTGAACCCTAGCTCAGGCCTGCATTACTGCTTGCTTAGACTAGTGTATTGGCCTCCTAACTTCTCTCTCTGCCTCGCTTCTCTTCCCACCCTAATATAATACTCAGCTGCCAGTGGGATTTTCCTTAAGTTTGGGCATGACCCTACTCAATAAACTCTCTTTTGTTTATCAGATTAAATATAAACTCCTCAGTTTAACTTTTAAGGTCCTTAACAGCCTACTTTTTCAACTTTATGATATATCATTCTCCTTCCTGTACATCTTGCTGTTTCTCATATATCATATTCATCTCTGGTCTGTTCAAGTAACACTTTATATAAAGCCTTTTCTGCTTCCCCAACTGTTAATACTTATCCTCCCAACTTATCATTTATTTAGTTTATATACATTTTTATATACTGATTTCTCTACTGTTGTTTCTAATGATAGAATGCAATCTCTTTGAGAGCAGAAACTATTTTATTATTGCCAACTATTGCCAACACTTAGCATAGTGCCTAACACAGAGCAGGTGCTTAATAAATGCTTATAGGCAGTTAGGTGGCACAATGGATAGAATGATAGGGCTGGAGTCAGGAAGATCTGAGTTCAAATCTACCTTCAAACACTTATTACAGACCTGCACACCATATTCCTCTATATTTTTTGCATGCCGCCCGAATTCCTTTGGCATGCCACAAGTGGCTCGCAGGTTGTGCAGGCCTGATTTATGACCTGTGTGACACTGTTCAAGGCACTTAGCCTCTGTCTACCTCAGTTCCTTTGGCTGCAAAATGGAGCTAATAATAGTATCTACCTCACAGGTTGTTGTGGGATCCAATGAGATAATATTTGCAAAATACTTAGCACAGTGCCCGTTTACATCCTTGTCCCCCCACCCCCAAAAGTTTGTTGAGTGACAATACAATTGTCAAAGTGATTTCAAACAACTAAAAATCAAGCAGTTCTCAGCTATTTCACATTAAGGGCCGCATGGAATTCAACTGAAATTTATTAAGACCTACATTGCGGAAGCTTTTCATGTCTCCTTGGGAAGAAAGGAAATATAAAATCAGCATTTTTCAGTAACAACACACATGCTAATACTAGATTTAGATAGAATATTCGATTTGGAGTGAGAAGTCCTGGGTATGACTATTGGCTATGTTTTTTACTACCTTTATGTCCTTGGGCAAGTGGCTTAGCCTCTCCAGGCATCAATTTCCTCATCTATAAATTGAGAGAGGTGGATCAAATGACTCCTAAGGTCCCTTCTGGCTTTAAATTAATGATCCTATGATAATACAGTTATGCAAGGAGTTTCCCCAAAAGAGAAGTATTAAAAATTAATAAGAATTCCACAGAATTTCCTAGAGAGAACTCAGTGTTACTAGATTTGAATTAGGACACCTCCTAAAATGTTTTGAGTGAGACCAAATTTTACATCTCCCAAGGAAAACAATAGCTGATATTTCCCCCCTGCACCTTGAGATTTGCAAAGTGTTTTACATCTTTTAATTCATTTGATCCTCACAACAACCTTGTCAGGTAGACAATAATATGGGTGATCTATTGTCTGAACACTGTATTGCTGTGCATGTCTTAATCCATGGTGTTCTTGATCTGGCCACCTGACTCTTGCCATCTTCTGCTCATACTTCCATTTGCCATAAGTCATTTCGTGCTCATGTTACATTCCATATGCCAAAGTGAGCACATAGCATTAACTCAATTATAAGAAAGAGCAGAGAGGAAGTTCTTTGAAGACAGATAACACTGTTATTATTATCTCCATTTACAGATGAGGAAACAGGTTCCAAAAGTTTGTGACTTGTCTATACTCATAAAATTAGTAGGGGTCAGAGACAAAATTCAAACCCAGGTCACTCTACTCCAAGTTTAGAATTCTTTTTCTTCCATAAATGACTGTGTATATTTAAAGAGTAAAATCACAGCAGCTGGTACTTACGTTTGTAATGTATTATTTGTTGCATTAATAAGGCTCTGTTCTTGTATCTTGTCAAGTATTAACAAGGCACATTTTTCATGACCCTAATAAAGAAAACAAATATATAAAAATGGTAAAGAATATGATATAGATGGGAAATAACCTTATGGAGGAAATTGTTAACTTAAGACTTCAAATTTAAATTTAAAAATTTTAAATGAATTTCATTGTCTTGAAAAACCTAAGGAAGATACTGGAACAGAAGTCAAATGGGAGAAAGTTGCCTGGACATAGATATAATACATGCTTTAAGAGTCAGACTCAAGCCCACTAAGATTTACTTGTTAGAGATCTTTAGTAGCAGGATAAATTATAGGAAAATGACATTTCTGAACTAACATTTAGCATTAATCATTTGGTCAATCAAAGGAGAGGCAAGCTCAGATTATTGAGGTCCCATAATGATCAGAGTTGAGAATAACCTATAATTCTTTCAGGGATACTTTCAGTATATAAATTATTCCTGTTTCACAGAGTCTTCTTTCACTGACTATACCATCCCATAAAGGACTATGAGGGTATTTACTGTCCTCGTCATTTATCTAGCATTTATGTTATGATGTAAGTTAATGGTCTTTTTATAGTTATAGGTCTTGTCTTCTCAATCAGACTGTAAACATTTGGAGGGAGAGAACATCTTTATCTATTTATTTTCTAATTACAAATAAAAATAATTTTTAATATTAGTTTTTAAAAAAAATTTGAGTTCCAAATTCTTTCCCTCTGCCCCTCCCTTCCTCCCTCATTAAGAAAGTAAGCAATTTGATATAGGTTATACATGTGCAGTTAGAACATATCTCTCTTTTTTTTTTAATTTGCCCATGGAATCTAGAAGAGTAACTTGAAGGTAATAATGAAAAATAAATACCTGTTGATGGTTTTGACAGTTACAGTATTATAAGATTTCAGGCCTGTCACCCTTTTTAGGGTAGAAATGATGAAATGCACAAGAAAGGTGCTTAGTGAAAAAAAAAAACCAAACTTTTTTTAAGTGGTCACAGTATTTTCAGTATTCTATTTATTTGCTTCATAGTAGAATTGTTTTAGGCTATATTTAGACAATACTATCTGCCAAAGCCCATGAATCCAAGTGTAAATGCTTGCATTCTGAAGAAGCATCTGACCATATCACCAAGGTTTTCATCTACCCTCAGTCCAGAGTAGTGTCTACACATCTGAGGCAATGAATGAGAAATGCTGCAATGGCAATCAGTTTCCAGACTGCGTGCAAAAGTTGAGAGGGTTCTATGGTCTTTTACGGATTCAACTTCACTCTAAATTAATTTTTAAAAGTGGCAGCATTTTGGAAAATAGATATCCTGACCTAAGGATATTCTGACCCATCCTTTAAGTGTTCTGATACACAGATACAAATAACACAATTTCTAAAATGTATTTACATACTTTACTACAAGCCAAATGTAAGGGTGTGTTCAAGTCCTTATCCTTTACAGTCAGATCAGCCTTGGCACTATTCACCAAAATATCTAAGAAAAGAAAAAAAACCCAAACAGGGTTATTGGCACCAAATGCTAATCAAATGCAATTTGAAGAAGTTATTAAAAATAATACTGTGATAAAAGCAGTATGCACAGACATAACCCACAAGACATTGTTCTGGCCAACAATATCATTAATAAATTATAATCTAAAGTCAGGATTGCTTATTTATAAAGCTACGAACTATAGTTTATGAAACTATATCCCTCTAACACTATTTTACTTCATAGCAAGTTTTCATGCAAACACCTGATGTCAGGTAGCATTTGCCCATAATCAGATCCTGTATATTAGGTGGGAAAAAAAGACATTGATTATACCCAGTGGTGCCAGGCATTAATGTTAAATAACAATTGTTTCTTTTCAGAATAATGTTATTAAGGGGTTTTATTTGCTTATTAAAATATGGTGAAATGGTATCTAACTCAGAAAGAAACAGGAGCCACTAAACTGTACCTTAGGATCTTTGTGGGCTTCATACTGTCTTAGAAAACCACATTTATGGGGGCGGAGCCAAGACGGCAGAGGGAAAGCAGTGACTGTCTTGAACTCTCCCCCAAACCCCTCCAAACACCTATGAAAATGGCTCTAAACAAATTCTAAAGCAGCAGAACCCACAAAAAGACAGAGTAAAACAAATTTCCAGTCCAAGACAGCCTGAATGGTTGATCGGAAAGGTATATCGCGCCAGGCTGGGAGAGGAGCGCAGTTTGGCGTGGCCGCACAGGCCGCAGCGACCCTGGAGCAGGCCTCAGAGGACTAAATCATGGGTAGCTTGTGGCAGTTTCCAGACTTCTCAACGCAGGAACGCCAAAGACAACTTAGAAGGTCAGTGGGAAAAGTCTGTGACTGTGGTGAGAGAAGGAGCTGGGTCTCAGCCGCAAGTCCCGAGCGTGCCCTCAGGGCAGCGGCCCTCCTGAGCTCCCCACAGACAGAGGGGGAATCAAGTGGCTGATCAGAAGGGGATTGCAGGAAACTCTCTGCTGGTGCAGGATTCTCTTGCTTTGCCCGTGCTTGGATCTCGGTCACAGTTCTGGGTGGTGGACCTAGGGTGAGGAGGAGCGCTGGCATGGTGGAGCTTGTAGTGGCTGTGGAGAGGAAACCCTCCTCACAGTTCCAAGACAGAAAAGAGTGCTTGTGGTCACTCATAGACCAGAGCACTGCCCAGGAAAGGAGTAAACACCTCGCCCTTGATAATACCACCTTGGAAGAACTGAAAATTTACAGGTCCCTAGAAGTATTTCTGAACACAGCTGCACAAAACCCTGAAGCTTGGGACAGTACGATCTCCACATTGGAAACAGATTCCTACCTTAACAAAGAGTTTATAACTCAAGTAATTGGCCAGGATCACGAGCAAGCAGCACAAAAAGCGTCACACTATCGAATCTTACTTTGATGACAAAGAAGATCAAAACATACAACCAGAAGAAGACAACGAAGCCAAAGCTTCTACATCCAAAACCTCCAAGAAAAATATGAATTGGTCCCAGGCCATAGAAGAGCTCAAAAAAGACTTTGAGAAGCAAGTAAGAGAAGTAGAGGAAAAACTGAGAGTGATGCTAAAGGAGGCCCAAAAAAATACTGAAGAAAATAACACCTTAAAAAATAGCCTAACCCAAATGGCAAAAGAGGTCCAAAAAGCCAATGAGGAGAAGAATGCCCTTAAAAGCAAACTTAGCCAGATGGAAAAGGAAGTCCAAAAGCTTACTAAAGAAAATACTTCCTTAAAAATTAGAACGGAGAAATTGGAAGAGAGGGACAATTCAAGAAATCAAGTCACTGTAACACTAATCAAAAGGAATGAAAAAATAGAAGAGAATGTGAAATATCTCATTGGAAAAACAACTGACCTGGAAAATAGGTCCAGGATAGAGAACTTAAAAATTATTGGACTATCTGAAAGCCATGATCAAAAAAAGAGCCTAGACATCATCTTTCAAGAAATTATCAAGGAAAACTGCCCTGATATTTTAGAACCAGAGGGCAAAATAGAAATTGAAAGAATCCACTGATCGCTTCCTGAAAGAGATCCCCAAAGGAAAACTCCTAGGAATGTTGTAGCCAAATTCCAGAACTCCCAGGTCAAGGAGAAGATATTGCAAGCAGCCAGAAGGAAACAATTCAAGTATTGTGGAAACACAATCAGGATAACACAAGATTTAGCAGCTTCTACATTAAGGGTCCAGAGAGCATGGAGTATGATATTCTGGAGGGCAAAGGAATTAGGACTACAACCTAGAATCACCTACCCAGCAAAACTGAGTATAATCCTTCAGGGTAAAAAATGGTCATTCAATGAAATAGAGGACTTTCAAGCATTCCTGTGGAAAAGACCAGAGCTGAATAGAAAATTTGACCTTCAAATACAAGACTCAAGTGAAACATGGAAGAGGTAAACATGAAAGAGAAATCATAAGAGACTTACTGGGGTTGAGCTGTTTACATTCCTGCAGGGAAGGATGATATTTGTAACTCATGAGTCCTTTGTCAGTATTGGGGTAGTGGGAGGGAAAAAAATTATATATTTGTATAAATAGATAGATAGAGGACACAGGGTGAGTTGAGGATGAAGGGATATCTGTAAAATAGAGTTAAGGAGTGGGAGAGGATTGTACTGGGAGAAGGAGAAAGTGAAAAGTGGAATGAGGTAAAATATCTCACATGAAACAGACAAGAAGGGACTTTTACATTGCGGGGGAGATGGGGGAAAGTGAGAGGGAATGAGTGAATCTTATTCTCATGGGATTTGGCTTAAGGAGGGAATAACATACACAATGGGGTATGGAAATCTATCTTCCTCTGCAGGAAGGTGGAGGGGGAAGGGGACAAGAGAGCAGGGGGTTGATAGAGGGGAAGGCAGATTGAGGGAGGGGATAATCAGAAGCAAACACTTCTGAGGAGGGACAGGGTCAAAACAGAGAATAGAATAAATGGGGGGTAGGATAGGATGAAGGGAAATATACTTAGTTTTTTACAACATGACTACTATGGAAGTGTTTTGCATGACTACACATCTATAGCCTGTACTGAGATGCTTGCCTTTTCAATGAGGGTGGGTGGGGGGAGGGAGTGAGGGAGAAAATTTGTAACCCAAAGTTTTAAAAACACTTTTAAAAAAAATTTTAAAAAAAAAGAAGAGGAAGAAACAAACAAACAAACAACGAGGAGGGGAGAAGAAAGAAGATCTTAAGTCAGTAAGGTGACACATTGAGTGATTATTCAGAAAAACAAACAACAAAAAGCAACTCCCAGTGTTTGTCCTGGGACCGTGTTATTGTACATTCTTCTAAATTTTCTACATCAAGAGTCCTGGACAATAGTTACAATATTCAAAAATCAGATTCCCGAATCCCTGCATAATCCTGAATCATAAAAAGAAAATAAAAAGAAAAAAAAAAGAAAAAAAAAAGAAAACCACATTTATTAACATGATCTATGTTCTGTTGTATTTTTATTTCTTTTGTTAAGTATTTCTCAGTGTATTTCAATAAGTTTTGGGCTGCACTTGGGAGTATCATGGGCCACAGTGGACCACCTATTTTCATTTTTGGGGGTTAAGTGATTTGTGCAGGGTCACACAGCTAGTAAGTATCTGAGGTCAGATTTGAACACAGGAAGATGAGTTTTTCTGACTCTAGGCCCAGCACTCTATTCACTGTGCCACCGAGCTGCCTGTATACCTTCATCACCTCTTGCCAATTTCAACGACTTACAACTTGGTCTCTCTGATTCTCTTTGTACTCCAACCCACATAGCTGCCAAGGTTATTTTTTTTAAGCTCAGCTGTGTCCATGTTACTTCTATATCCACTAAATCCCCATGTCTCTCTATTGCCTCTAGGATAAAATATTGCCTCCATTTAACTTTTAAACTTCTTCATAACCTGACCTAAGCCTATTTTTTAGCTTCATTATATATTACTGCAATTCTTGCATGCTACCATCCAGCCAAACTAACCTTTACTCTGTTCTTCATACATGACACTCCATTGTCCTCGGTGTCTTTGTGCCGGTTGTACCCCATGCCTGATGTGCAATCTTTCCTCACCTCTGTCTCACAAGATATTTCATTTCTTTCAAAATAGAGCTCAAAGGCTTACTATATGAAACCTTTCCTGATCCCACAACCCTTAGTGCCCTCCCTCTCTAGAGTGCCTTGCATTTATTTTATATTTATTATATATAGAAATTTATTCTGTATCAATTTATACATGTATATGTTGCCCCCCGCCCCACTCCCGACAGAATGTAAACTTCTCGAGAGCAGGAATTTTTTTTTTGGTCTTTATAGCCCTAGTAGCTGGCACAAAAAAAAGAATGGCACAGAATAGCTGTTTAATAAATGCTTATGGATAGACTGTGTTAAAAACAAGAGTTATCAATCAAATATCTTCTTACGTGTGTAGCGGTCTTACTATAGAAAGGTCAATTCACTTCCATTATTCCATGAACAATCAGGAAATTTAAGAGGGTAGCTATAGTAAATGGAGTCAAGGGACTTTTGTGAGTCAGCCAGCCAAAGCAATGTAACTGAACCTTGAGGACAGGAAGAAAAGAGATGTGGCCAACATTCCGCCTGGCCCAGAACTAGCTTATATATTAAAGCAGAGAAGAGGAATGGTAGTTGCAAGTGCACTGTCTTAGCTCGTAAGACTCCTGTGGACTTCCGAAGTTCTGATGCACTGCTGATTCCCCAGAAGAGCAAGAAGGTGTGTTCCTAGGTATGTCTTATTGCCTGAGACCATAGTATTAAATTGCCTCAATTTTGGGGTACTTATCGTTTCACCAGCTGGTAGAACTAGAATGATTTTACGCATGAAGGTCGGAGAATACTTATTGGCACCTGAAACACTCTTCTGAGGCCGATCATTATGAGAGGTTTACTATCTCGGAGTACAAAGCTAGAAATTCTACTGTCCTCTACCCCGGGCAGACCACATCTGGAAAACTGTGTTCAGTTACGGGCAATAAGTTTTGAGAGCAACATTAATAAGCTGGAAAGCATCCAGAGAAGGAAAATTGGGATGTTCAAAGACTTTAAGATCATGCTGTATGAAGGTTGAATAAGTGAACTGGGAATGCTTAATCTGAATTCTCCAAGGGCTGAAATGATTTTTGTCCTAAGTATTTGTCCTCAAGTTGTCAAATGGAAGAGGGAATAGATTTCAGGGCCCTCGAAAGCAGAACTAGGAACAATAGTTGCAAGCTGCAAAGAGGCCAATTTAGGCTTAATTTAAGTACACACTTCCTAACAGATTTATCCAAAAATTAAATTGGCTGGTCCAAGAGGTAGAGGGCTTCCCCTCATCAGAGTTCTTCAGTTGAACACTGGTTACGCATTTGTTGGGGGTGATGAAGAACGGTCATTGATCAAGTATGAATTGGACTAAGTGATCTTTGAGGTCTCTTATAGTGAGGTCTTCCAGTGCAAAGATTCTATAGCTCCTGCAAGGCATGTGTGGGAAGCAAGAGTTTAAACCTGCTAACCATAGCTGCCATTCTGTAAACCAAGTGAAACAAAACCAGTATTTTTAATGCATATCAAAATCATCCACCAGGGTTGCACCAACAGCACCACATATGTAACTGAATTTTCCAATTTAACTTCTTTCGTCATTTTCCACAGGGTAAAAACAAAAACAAAAAACAACTCTGCCACACCAATACATACCTACAGCACCTGCCTGCCCATTCTCAGCTGCCATCATGAGTGGTGTTTTCCCTGAATTATCTGCAGCATTCACTTGTGCATTGTGGCTTAAAAGAAGCTGTAAGCATTCCACATGATCAGCAAAGGCTGCAGCATGAAGCGGAGTTCTAAGAATTTAAAAAATATATATATTCTTACTTAAACATAATGGACTGTTACTTTTATCCCTTCTGAGGAAATATGAACCTTTTATCTTTCATCTTGAGAATTTAAAACTGATAACTTTATAAGAGTAATAATGACATCTTTAACCGTACTTTAATCAAGTCACTTTTGTCTTTGTTCTCTCTGTTAGACATGATACTAAAATAATATTAAGAAAAAGATAAGATTAAATTTAAGATAAAGATTGATTCAAGTGCTTTGAAAAGTAAGCCATGTCAATTGTTTTGGTCATGAATTTAGACTAAATAACTACTGTGATGCTCTGAAAAGAGAGACTAGGATTCATTAAGACACAAAGAAGAGCTACTTACCGTCCCTTGTCATCTCTACAATGGACAATGCTGGGGTCTATGGCCCCAATAAGCAGTGATGCACAATTTTCATGGTCATTAATTCTAAAATAGAAACATTTTATCATTACCTTTAAATTGGCAAAAAAAAAATGGTTTCAAAAGTACCTCTGTAAGGTTTCATTATTTGCAAAGAACCAAAGGAGTTCAAGTCTGATCATATCATCCCCTTATTACTCAACAAACTCCAGTGGGTGCCTATTGCCTCAAGAATAAAATTTTTAAAATCCTTGTTTAATTTTAAAACCTTTCATAACATCACCCCTTCCTACCTTTCTAGTCTTCTCACACCTTACTCCCCTTCACATACTCTGTGATCCAGTGACACAGGCCGCCTTGCTGCTCCCTGTGCAAGATACCTCATCGCCTAAGCCTATGCATTTTCGCCGGCTATCCCTCATGCTTGGAATTCTCTTTCTTCATCTTTTCTTCTTGCTTCCTTGGCTTCTCTCAGGTCTCAGTTAAAATCCCTACTGCATGAAGCCTTTTCTGATCCCCATAACGCTGACGTCTCTTGATTGATATTATCTCCAAAAATTGCCTGGTAAAATCTTCGAAGTATGTATCTTGTTTTTACATAATTGTTTGCACGTTAACTTTCCCATTAGACTTTTGGGTTCTTTGAGAGTAGAGGCTATTATTTTTTCTGCCTTTCTTTATATACTCAGGACAGTGCCTGGTAAATCATAGGTACTTAATAAATACTTGCTAATTTGATTCAAAATGAAAAATGCTTTGCCTCCTCAAGTGCCTATGTTTGCCGCATTCACTGTAAAATTCAGAACATTTGTGCATAATTTCAGTCTTGCTTTTTTGGAGGGTTGGGGAATCTGTGTTATAGTGGAAAGAGCGACAGATTTGGAGACAAAGGACCTATGTTTAAATTGTCTCTGCCATGACTTGTTAGTTGGACTAGTCAGTAAACTCTCTGGGTCTCAGTTTCCTCATTTATAAAATAAAGAGATTAGACTAAATGGAAATCCAAATTTACATTCAGCTCTAGATCTATGATCCTGAATTCATCAATGTGAAACTCCCTTCATCAATGCAGAAGGGTAACTCATCAATCAATACATTAATAAGCATTGATTAAGCACCTACTAAGTACCAAGCACTGTGCTAGGCACTTAAGCTACAAATACAAAGCTGGAACAAGTTCTGCCTTCAAGAAACTCACATTTTCAATAGAAGAGACAGCATACACATACATGTCAACTCCTTAATATAGGAGTTGACTTAAAAGTGCCTCAATACAGTTTTGCATTTTAATAGTTTAAAAATGCACTAAGACTTTTGGGACATCCTCTACATAGCCACTTAAAAGGGATATATTTCAGGTTGGCTACTTGATTTCTACAATTTAGACTATGTATACCAACAATATAAACTTATCTGTTTTTAACCATAGAATGTAATATACAATAGGTCATGTTAATGATGGCCTGCTCTCCTAACTGCAATAAGGCAATTTCCCTCACATACTTTAAAATAACAAAACAACAATTATATTAACATCTAACATTTATACTCACACAGCACAGTGCAATGGAGTGAAGGGATTACCATTAAATTTGCGAAAACATTTTTGTTCCAAAAGTACCTCTATACAGTTTTCATTCCCTGCAAAGAATCAAATGAGTTCAGTTACAATGTTCAGAGTTGTTAAGTATCTTCTAAAACCATACAAAACCCAGAGTACCTAAATACTGAATTTTAGTTCATAATTCTTACTGTTGGACTGACTGTATATATTCTCCATGAAATAAAGTACCTAAAAGTTAAAATGCTATGAATTCTGCTCAAAGATGTTGTGAAACTCTCAGAACAAAATTAAAACAAGGTTTGTATAATTTGATCTCCTAGAAAAGTAGAGCTTCATTTTTGTATAAATCAATATGTATTTATTAAGTGTCTATTATGTGGCATGCATTGTATGAAGTGCTGGGGAAAGAGTTTTGGTTATTTATATCAGCCAAACCAAATCTTTTGGTTATACTGATGCTAAAATGCTTCAAAAATATAACCACAGTATATGATTATGATGGAATACTATTGTGCTATAAAAAATGATGAGCAAGATGATTTTTCTGAAGCTTACATGATGCAGAGTGAAGTGAGTGAAACCAGGAGAACATTGTACACAGTAAAAGCAATTTTGTACAATGATCAATTGTACAAACAATACAATTGTACAAACAAATTGTACAAACAAATGTATTTAGAAGACATGTTACACTTGTCTGAATTGTCATTCACCATAATAACATGCTCAAAAAATGGTCATCAAATCACTGTTCAAACATTTCCATCCACCTATTACCTCCAAAGGCCTCCCATTTCTTCTTCTTTTTTTTTTTTATTTGAGGGAGCTAGGTCTTACTACACCTAAATACAATAAATAAATTGTACAAACAAATGCTGTACAAAAGGTGAAGAGACATACATTTTGAGATGCAGCCATTGGGTGGATTTCTTTTGTTTGACTACTTATTTGTTGCAAGAGTCTTCCCCCTTTATTTTCACTCAGTTCATGTTTGGGGAGTTCAGCAGGGTGAAGATTAACAATAATGATAAAAAAAGGCCACTGAAACGTTTTTTAAAAATGCACATAGGAGAAAAAAAAAGGAACTTCAAAAGACAATAAAACAAGCAGGGCAGTTTTGGAACTTGAATGATTTAGCTGTTGTCAGCAATACAATGATCCAAGACAATCCCAAAGGACTCATGATGAAAAATGCTATCCACCTTCAGAGAAAGAACTCATGGAGTCTGAATATAGCCCGAAGCATACTATTTTTCTCTTTGTTTCTTTCTGTCTTTCTTTCTTCTATTTTATTTTGGTTTGAATTTTCTTCCAAAAAATGATTAATATGGAAAAATATTTTACATGATTGCACATGTAAAACCTAGATCAGATGGCTTACTGTTTCAGGGACAGGGGAAGGGAAAAAGGGAAGGATAGCATTTGAAACTCAAAACTTCAAAAAAATATTAAAAATTGTTTTTACATGTAGCTGGGGGGAAATAAATTATATTTTTTAAAAAGTATAATTAAAGAGAGGCAGAGGGGTGAAGTCAAAAGCATGCAGGATTTGGAGCAGTCAGACACATAGGAGGAGCATCAGGAGCGAGTATTACCACAAAAACCTAGAGAAAAGAGTAGCAAGATGAGGGTCAGCAGTGTGAAAGTCTGCAGAGAGGTCAAGAACAATGAGGATTAGGAAAAGGCCATTAGATTTGGCAACTGAGAGATCATTGATAACTTTGGAGAGAGTTTTTTTTTTGATTGATAAGGTCAGAATCCACACTGTGGAGAGTTAAGAAAAAAGTGAGTAGAAAGGAAGTGGAGACACTCAAGACTTCATTTTTAGCCATGAAAGAGAGGAGAAATACAAGATAATAGCTAGCAGGTTTAGACAAATCAAGTGAAGGTTTTTGAAGATAAGAGAGACATGGGCATGCTTGTAGGTAGTAGGAAAGTAGTCAATAGGCGGGGTAGCCGGGTGGCTCAGTGGATAGAGTGCTGGGCCTGGAGTCAGGAAGACTCATCTTTGTGTGTTCAAATCTGGCCTCAGACACTTACTAGCTATGTGACCCTGGCCAAGTCACTTAACCCTGTTTACCTCAGTTCCGAATCTATAAAATAAGCTAGCAAACCACTTTAGTTTCTCTGCCAAGAAAACCCCAAATTGAGTCACAAGGTGATGGACATGACTGAGAGACTGAAGATTAATGAAGGAGTGGGGTGATAAATAAAGCAATCGGCTGAAGGAAATGGGATGGAAAGGGACACTGTATTTTAAAAGTTCATAAATAAAACCTGCTGAGATCTATGAGGACCAAAGGACAAAGAAAAGATAAAGAATCTACTGATCTTCTTTTGAAAGGAATACCAAAATTTTAGGAAAGTCACAGCCAAAATCTAGAGTTTCCACATCAAAGAACCAATACTACAGGCATCTAGAAAGAAGCAGTTCAAAAGTACCAAGGAATTGCAGTTGGCCCCACACAAGATTTTGCAGCTTCTACCAAAAACCAGAAGAGATCATGGAATAGGATATTCTAAAAGACAAAAGAAATATGCTTACAATCAAGAATAACTTACCTTTTAATACTAAACATAAGTCTACAAAAGAAAAAAACATTGGACCTTTAAAGGACTAGATAACTTTCAAATATTCTTGATGAAAAGACCAGAGCTGAATAGGAACTCTGAAACACAAACACAAATCAAGAGAAACCAAGAAAGTAAATGTATTTGTGCAACTGAAAAGAGCTGTAGGCAGCACTAACGGTGTAAGAAGAAACAAGTGTGTCCCTTCAGAACTTAATGTCTTCAAAAGGCATTGAAGAAGTTAAATGAGCAAAACAGAGGTCTTGGTAAGGAATGGTTCTGTTCTGAGGATTTTAAGATGGAAAAGAGAAAGGAGGGTAAAAGGAGAAATATGCTAATGTAGTTAGCAGTTGAACTTGCTATTTCTCATAACTGGAGTGCATGACAAGAAGAATATACAAACACATAGGAAGGAGAGGCGGAGGAGTGACCACCAGATGAAACAAATTTTTATCTAAAATAGACAAAAGAGAGTTGAGCATATCTCTAGCACACATACATACAGTTTGGTGCAAAAATATGTCAACCCAACATGTAAACAAATGGAGATAGGAGAAAGTGAAGTTTGCAGGGCTCAACAAATTATGGCTTATAGGGTAATCCACCTGTTTTTGTATGACCCAGGAGCTAAGAATGGTTTATATATTTTTAAATAAAGTTTAATTGCTTTAAAAAATATAAAAATCATCCTTAACTCACCACAGAGTTTGGACCTTGGGCCATAATTGGCCAACTCCTGCTTTAGAGGAAAGATAAAACTAAAGGATGAATAACTGAAAGCAAAAAAAACTCCCTCATCCTAAGAGGGAGGATTAAAAGTGAGGAAAAGAATTAGAATTTAAGAGAGTGCCTTATATTGTCTGAGGTCCTCAGGCAATTGGGGAATGGCTGAACAAATTGTGGCATACGAATTTAAAGGAAATTATTATGCCTTAAGGAATGTTGAAAGAGATGATTTCAGAGAATCCTGGGTAGTACTTGGAAAGACTTAAGAATGCTGATCAAAGCATGACCATCCATGTCTCCAGAGGACCTATGATGAAGCATGATACCAACCTCCTAGTCGAGAAATGCTGTACAAAAGGTGAAGAGACATACATTTTGAGATGCAGCCA